AGTCTCCTTTCTGCTGAAGTCAGTGAGTGTGCTTCCATTCACTTCACTGAGAGCTGGCACCAGTTCTAATTTAATACTGCTTGGAGAATGTGTACTTTTAGCAGTGTTCTCCACTGGAAGGAAGGAAGGTTTCCTAGGAAACCCATAAGCCTAGAGTGGCTGTCCTCTGTCCTTTCTGCTAGCTTCTCCCTTGGATTTGCCAACTTTTAGAATTATATCCAATGTCAAAGTGCTTCTCTTTTCCTTGTCACCTCCCACACATAAGAGCATTTACTGTGTGCTATCTACAACTACTTATAAGTGACTCTCCCTCCTAAAATTATTTGAAGAAATTGTCTCCATTTAATTTGTCATTCTTAAGAGGCTATTTCTTGATTAACTCTATGTGGTCTTCAGTACCACAGAGGGAGGTGATATGCTGTGCTCTTGAATCCCTTTGCCTAGCAATTGCCAACTTAAAACTTAGAGTTTTGGGGAATTATTTATCAAACATGCAACTATTGAGCAGTAGTTCTAACTGAAATAACAAAGTGTCCCAGACATGAATTATGAATAAGAGTGAGAAACCTAGCCTGCTTAGAATTGGCAAGAAACCAACCAACCAACCAAAACCTACTCTCATTGGTTGTACGTTTTTTTTAATGTGTGCAAGAAAGGAGAATAAGGAAAATTAGTACAATTTTAATGTTTATAATACCTCACTAACTCTGTCATGTTGCCTTTTCAAACAGAGCACGAAATGTATTTCACCAAATCTATCTGGAGGGAACCCAACAGGCTTTGAAGCCACTAATTTCAGAACTTTTTAAAATATGGGCAAGTGCCAGTGGCTGTAGGGAAGAACAAAGTAGAGTGGATGCTCTGAGGTCCCCAAGTGATTGGGCTGGTATTGTCATGGCTTTGTCATTTGGAAAAGGAAGTGGAAATGCTGAAGGAGCTGGCACTGTTGGCTTACTGCTTGCCAAAGTTCCTGGGAGCTGTGGGAGAGGTGCTGCCAGGAGCTGCATCCTGGGCTTCCAGGCGACAAAACAAGTGATTACTTCTCATGTTTCCATGTTCTAGGTTTGACTGAGGTACCCACAAGGACGTTGGGGAGGAAACACAGAGAAATTAATAATGTAAAATGATGCACAGTGTACAAAAACGCTAAGGGCTGGGACACATCACGAAACAGTGTTCTTTTGACTAATCAGATCAAATCATGGTAATTCGTAAATGACCAGTGAAGCTAAGGTGGTGTAATATTGTCATCGAGACAAGACTTGGTGTTCTGGGGAGCTGCTTGCATCATCAGTGGGGGATACCAGCCTGCTTTGTGTTTCAGCAGTTAGGAGGCAGCAAGTGCTGGGCAGCAGGAAAAGGAGAGATGATATTGTGGGATAAAACCAGGGGCACTGCATTGTCTTAGGTTTTATCAGAGAAGAGGACATGAGGGGAGATGAGATGGGAGGCAAATGGCCAGTAATTGTCTCTCTGGGCTTAAGTGCTTGACTCTTTCAGATAAGTTGAACAGTTTAATCTGAAGTCAAGGGGAGCAACATTACTGAAACACAATCAAAACCCACCCCGAACAGAGATGTTGCAATGCAATTTAGAACTCTTCAGTTTGTCAGTTCCACAACAGAATTGCCTGCAGGAGCACAGTGAGGAGAAATTTGATAAAACTTCAGGCAGTTCAATATCAGTTGGATCTCTTGTCTAAGAGATGGTGAGTAGAGCTCGTGGTTTCTCTGAGAGCATGGTGGACAACAGTTTTCTAGGTCCACATGCAGTGTGGCCTATCAACATTTGGGAGGATATGTGGTCCTGGCGTGTTGAGGAAACACAGAATATGATCCATAGTGATGCCAAAGAACAGTTTGGAGATAGTATCTCTGCCTTTACTCTCAGAATGTGAGGTATTTCCCTTCTTGGCACTGACTGCCGTTCAGTACCTGAGTATAGGCCAGTCATTTGCTCAAATCTAAAATAAATTATTTTGTGATAGGAATTCGGTGTGTTTATTGGCTTAAAAAAAGAGTCTAAAACCTTGACGGTGTCCCAGCTTCATCTGATTATTAGACCACGGCTACGATGTCGTTAATGAGATCTATCCAGATTTGTCACTAAAAATAGCAATGGACAAATCGTAAGTGTTCAGTGTAGAGGGTCACCTTGGAGCAGTTACACTCGCCTGTAACGTCTGTCTCCTTTTACTCACTTTCACTAGAGTAGTTATCTGGCTGTAAAGCAGTTCAGGCAGGGTGTCATAGATATTCCTTTAATTATTATGATCTTCCTTGTAGCAATTATAATTTGCTTTATTGTAGATAACAGCTCATTGGTAGATAAAAGTCACTAGGCAGATAGGAAAAGTTGTATGTTGTAGCTTTTAGATTGAAAGCATAGCAGCTGGTTCGTGGTCAACTTTCTTTTTTAAACTCAAGGATTATTTTGGAACATCAATTAAAAAGAAACAAAAGACAAAAGGAATGTTTCATAGCAATTGTAGTGCATAACAGATTTCACTTACTTGTCTCACTGATAGACAGAACGTGAGGCGTAGACATTCCTTCAACTGCAGAGGAGGAAACCTCTATATGAATGCCAGAAGCATCTATTGAATGCTTTTTCTCAGACTATAGGAGAAAATCTACTTACTGCTTGAATTGCTCCAAGAACACTTGTTAAATTCCAGTGTTCCTTTTGTCAGCATTACCAGTTTTGCTGTACTTAGTTGTCCATATTGTTGAAATTGTTGGTGGGATTCAGTTGTTTCCGTGACTAGAACCCATTTCTGGTGTGCTGTTGTTGTGAGTCAGTTTATGGCCATTGTTAGTACTTTTTAACATTCATATACATATATACGTGTATAGCAGCACATATATTGAATAACCTCTTTCAAGTCTGTCTTTGTGTAATTTGTTTTTCCTTTAAAAATGGTAACAGGAATTGGAAACATAGTTCTGTTGAATAATCAAATTCCACAGAAATGCTGTGGCTTTATTGTTTCTTCTATCATAAGCCCATGGAAGCATATAACTTTACATTATTAGTATTTTTATCCCATTTATTTGGGAAAGTCAATATATGAAAAAAAAAAAAAATCGTGCTGTATTGTACAGGCTGTTCTGCTCCACGTAGGTGATGGCTGGATGGGGCAGCTCTGTTCTTCCTGAAGGTTAAGGGAGCAGGACAGGCTGTGTGGTTCAAGGGTTTGGGCTGGTGGGATTTTTTTTAAAGCAACTGTGAGTTTTGCTTTTGCTTGTTTTTATTTGCGATCACTGTATCAGATTGTTAGTGTTTAAAAATAATTTACTGAAGGCGTATTTTAGAATTGACTAAGATGTGAGATGAAACTGGAAAAAAAGAAGAGAGAATGTCAGAGGCAAATATTTCACTGTAAGGGAAGGAATTATTTTGTCAAGTTGAAGCAGTTTACTGTGTCACTATAATCACTTGCTGACAATATTAAAGTTTAGCTTCTGATACCTTTCAGTGCTTTATCAGGGGACTTGACATTTGTGTAAGGTATCAGTAAGGACATAAGTGCATAGGTACAGTTGCCTTTGTTGATGCTAAGGCATCATAATCCAGAAAATTTATGGCAGGATTTCAGCTTTAGTATTGCCAGAAATAAAATTAATCCAAGGTGGAAGTGTCCTTTTTGAGAGTTCAAATCCCTCTTGGAATTGCTTTTCTGCTTCCCTTCCCACTTTTTTGCAAGTAAGCATTTACCATTTTTGGAAAACATAGGCTGCACTAATATGCCAAACTGGCTTTTCCCTTTCTCATTGACTTGAAATTGAGGTTAACAAAGTAAATTCCAAGCAAGTAACACATATGAGTGATGATTTTTGTCCCAAAGAACAGCATTGACTTGAACAGTATGGAAGTGCTAATGCTCTTGCTTTGTGCAAGAGCCCATAATGACAAAGTATACTTGTCAGTGTATATAATGAAACTATAAATTGTTTTCATGACTGCTGTGATATTTGGTTCGTTGCAGAGCACATTCAGAAAGTATTTAGTGCCACTCTTGTATGAGTAACATCAGAAATAGAAATACGTGCTTTGGCATGAGCAGTGTCAAGTGATGGGTGAGAGGAATCTGCTGAGTGAACATCACGTTAGGTGGAACAAGTTGCCTGGAGCTTCTGATAGGTGATGTTCAGCCACTGCAGGAGAGGATGATGTACGTGCTACTCCCTCGATGAGGAATGGCAATGAAGCAGATCAGACTGATGCACAACAGCTAAGATTTGCAAGTTCTGCTTTGCTTTGTGTGTGAGCCCTCCACGTCAGAGGTGGTGGCTGGAGGGGAAGGCTCCCCTCTGCCTTCTCTCCCCGTTCCAGTGTTTGCAGTATTCCTGCAGTATTTCCCATCCTCTTGACTCGACAGGCACACGCATGCAGTGTCACAGCTGAATTAGTTCCTTTTTCCTGGGTCCACATAGGGTATCACAATGCAGTTGTTTCAGACTCAAGGTACATTTTGGTTTCCACTCGTGCTACCCCTTCTGCTGTAACGTGGCCCGCTTTCACTGTCCGGATGGGAGGCTGAGCCCAGGGGACATTGCTGGTAGGCAGGCGGAGGAGGAGGGAAGGGAAGATGAGGTGGGAAATGCTGGTTGCTAACTGAGAGCTGTATATTGTGGACACAAGTAGAAAAGGGAGTAGTTTGCAAAGGCTTCTGCCAGCAGCCTTCCCAGGGCTGCGGGTCAAACTGTGAGGTTCCTCGTGCTGTTGCATATGAGGAAAGAGAGACGGAACATGAACTGATGAATTTTTCTAACTCATAGTGGTCAGGTGAGCCTGTGGCCTTGCTAATGGATTTTAGGCTTCTGATACAGCAGATTTCTTTCCTGTGATTGTTATGAATAAGCTAAGATGACTTCTGGCAAACTGTGCAGAGAATCTTCCTCCATCTTTTCAGAGAAAAACTTGAGCCTTTTGAATCCAGTGCTGGCTGGGTTTGTTACATTATGTTTTGTTTGGTTTGGTTTTTTTCTCTTCTGCAGTATGTGGTGTGCAAAAGGAAGCTGGAAAGTAAAAAAGAGGCATTGCTGATCCTTTCCAAAGAGCTGGACACCTGTCAACAAGAAAGAGACCAGTACAAGCTTATGGCCAACCAGTTGCGAGAACGACACCAGTCCCTGAAAAAGAAGTATCGGGAGTTGATTGTAGGTTGTTCTTTATGAATGCTGTATAACTGGGGGACAAAGATGAACCTCAAAAAAAAAAAAGTAGAAAGAAGTCCATAATGGCTGCTGTAAAAAGAAATGTTTAGGTACTTGTTTATAGTAGTCCTGCAGTTGTACAGACGTGATTGTATTATTACTCATTTGTTCCGTGTTGATGAGGTAGTGCCTGTTATCTAAGACACAAAAAGACAGAGCGTGCTCTGAAGAAATTAGTTTTAGTCATAATTCCATTTAAAAACTGACTGCAGTATTATTATTCCACACAACTTGATGTACCGTTATGAAAAATAATGCAACATAAATTTGTAATGACCTACTGTTCTAGAAATATAAACAAATGAAGCGTTAGACATTTTTTTGGAGTTTAAATTAGTATTTAGTGGTATTAATCAAGACATGCTATTTTAGAAACAGTTTTTGATAACATTTTGGTTAAAATACATGTTTTAGAATTTGATCCACAAAGTTAGTATAGTTGCTGGCTTTAGAAACAAGTTGCCAATAAAATATGTCTTTTTATTTGTAGGATGGGGATCCTTCCCTTCCTCCTGAAAAGAGGAAACAGGTAGGATTAATTTTTCAGGTGGCATTATTTATCTGCTACAGAAGTACTTTGTGAAAGTGTGAAAATATTAACTAAGAGATCTGGTAAAAACAGAAAAGCTCAGTGAAAAGCTCAGCACTTAAGCTGTGGCTTCTTGTGTTTTTGTCTAAATACGTTTCACTCTGAAATACCTGAAGTATCATTAATTAGAATATACGACTATTGCTTTTATGTTCACCCAAGACTTAAATTGGTCAGTGTACGGAGACTTGTGATTATTGTCCTTGTTGTTTACCCTTCTTGTATTGCGTCCTAAAATGGGTTCCTGACAGGACTTCTCATACTTAAAAGCAATTTGGGAATGCACTGTCTGCATTCCGTAATTGCTAATTTATTGTTTTGAGTACTGTTTTCCATTAGGTAGTCTCCCGGGTCACTTGGACTCTATGAGTTATAAATGGTAAGAACAATGGTAATTGCATTTTATGACTCCCCTGAAAAAAATGATGACTGCTTACATTTTTTTTTTTTCCTTCATGGAGATCCATGTAGTGTGTCCCTGTTGTGGAGTGTTGGTTGTCACATCTTAAAATTATCTTAATTTTTAGAGAAAAATGGTGCCCAAAACACAATGGGTGAGCAGCGAGAGGGCAACCCAAAAAAAGAAAAACTATTACTGTAATTGCTAGTCCTGAAAGTCTTTTAACCCTGTTTAAAACATGGCTATTGCATTCATTTAATGGATCAGAAGTTTTATTTGTCATCCTTTCCCTGAGAGTTTGCATGCAGTTCTTGCTATTTTCTTTAAATTTTAAGGGTTCAGGATTTTTGTTGTTCTAAAATAGACTTTCAGAGGCAATAAAATTACTCAGGCACTTAAACAGCTGCCAAGAAGTCAATGGCTCAGTGTAGAATCATTTAACTGCCTCATTATTTAGCATAATTTATTTGAAATTCTGTTATTTCAACAGAGTTCTAATAAAAGTTTATGACCAGGTATAGGTTTGTGCTTTCTGACTACAAAAGTTGGAGCTGAAGAATATACAATTGAAAGGAAAAAAAATAATGCAGCATATGGGCCATTACAGAGATAAGAAGGGAAATTTGCCGTCCCATAGATGTTGTTCCAATTCATCTTACATCCTTCAAAACAAGTTAATCTGACACTTGTTTCTCAAATACTACCAAAATTTAGTCTAAATTCAGAATCTGCAATTGTATTAAGTTTTAGCAAATCTTAGCATGGCAAGTGACTGGAAATCCATTTAATAATCTAGCTAGGAGTCTTTTTTTCTGAGGAAGTTATGTATTCATGCTAGGTAACAGTGAAAGAAAGAAAATCTTGTTCTCAGATGGGATCATTTATAGGTCTCCCCCAAGGACAATACATACTTTAGGGGGTACAGTAAAAGATAGTGCACTTCTTGAGTTTTCATTTTCCTGAGAAGTGTGTCTGTAGCACACAAGGTGGATAATCTGGAGTAGTTAGGGCAACCTTTCTGAAGAAGAGTACAGTTTTGCTTTGAGGAATGCATTACAGAATAATGAAAGTTATGAGTATTTTTCTATCAATGCTGTACATACATTTCTTAGCATTTTTTCATCTAAGAAAGAGTGAAGTTCTCTGTGCTCTTTTGTACTTTTTTTCATCCCCTTTTTGCCTAGAAGCCTAACTGCCTGCTGGGAGAACTTTGTGACCTCAGTCACTTTGTGAAAACCCTGTCGCAAATTTTCTGTGACCCAATTCTCATGGTCAAAAATGAGATGAAAACATGATATGCTCACCAATTTACTATCTGTTATGTTTCCTTACCACAACAGAGAAATTATTGTAGAAATTGCAATGTAGAATCTAAAATGTAGTAGGTGGGTGGGAATTGCTACTTTCTTCTCCTTCATCTCTTCATTTTTCACCTTTATTGTCAATTATGCTTTGTGACTTATTTTTCAAAATATCCTTTTTTCCACACCATGCTTTCTCTCTCTGTTTTGCAACACAGAAATTTGAAGTTTTGTATGGAAATACCATGTGACCAGGCAATTTCTGTCAGCAAGCAGTTAACTCGGAATGAGTTTTTTTTGTAAAATTGCTGTTACTTAAAGGTATCTTAGCATGCAGTGCTCTGCAGTGTGTTCCCTCTCAAATCTGTGTGTGCAGTAGTACACTTCTCTGACATAATCCAAAGATTGCTCCACGTGTATCACCTTCTGCCCACCAACAAAAGCAGGAAATGAGAAATTGCTCTACTGAAATCTCTTCCTGCAGTAGGTGTTTTACCATTAGTGTTGTAAACACAGCCTGTGAGCCATTGGTGCTTTCCTGGCCCCCTTACTAAACACAATTAAATGCTGTATTTGGAGGTAATTTTATGTCTCGTGGTGTCAGGTGTAGGGTAATTTTTGGATAAGTAATGGAGTGGTGAAATGTCAGGAGGATAGGAATAATGAGGAGTTGATTTTGATGTTAAAAATCACCAGAGATGTGGTAAACAATAGACACTCCCCACTTTGAAAGGCATGTAAAAATTTGGCTCTGGCTACAAAGCCGCTGGTGTGCATCCTGTGTAAACAGGAATTCTACCATTCTGCAGTGTTTTGTGTACATTTGTGGTGATACAGAACATTTTTATACCATTGGCAAACAAATACTGGCTATCTGTTGGACAGTGTTGTCATGCTGGGGAACCTAAAGAAAGAAGCACGCATGGGATTTCTAGCTTGACTTATGCTATTATTTTTGTCTACACTGCTTAAGTTTTCAGTACAACTTCAGTTTGGGAGAATCTTTGTCCTTGAAATAACAGATCAACGAATCTTTTGACCTTCTATATGTAATGGAAGTTCTTTTAATACAAATGAAGTCCTTTCAATAAACAAAAGTCAAGTAAAATGCACTGGTAGGAAAACGACTGTGCTTGGCCACAGTCCTAAATAGGCTTTGTGTAATTTGATAGTGAGACCACTCAGTTGGAGATAATGGGTTTGCAGTTGGGCTCTGTGTTAAGAATAAAGCCACAATGCATATATACACTGGTGAGAGCTTATATTTGTGTTTTAAATGCGTGAGGAATCAAGTTAAATAGAGCTAAACTTCATAAGATCACAGAATGGTTGAGGTGGGAAGGCAGCTCTTGAGATCATCTAGTCCAATCCCCCTGCTCAAGTGGAGCCACCTAGAGCAGGTTGCCCAGGACTGTATCCAGTCAGGTTTTGAATATCTTCAACGACAGAGACTCCACAGCTTCTCCGGGTAACCTGCTCCAGCGTTTCACCACTCTCACAGTAAGAAAGGGGGAGGGAGTGGTGCTCATATACCTGCAGGTATTGGGGTGGCTAAAGTCCCTCATGAGGACCAGGGCCTGTGAACATGAAGCTTCTTCCAGTTGTGTGAAGAAGTCTTTATCTACTACTTCTTCCTGATCAGGAGACCTATAGCAGACCCCCAGTACAACAGGGTGTGTGTCAGTCTGCCCGCTGATCTTGACCTCTCAGCTGACCCCTGAGCTGTCAGAGGCAGAGCTGCATGCATTCCAGCTACTCGCCCACATAAAGGGCAACAGCCCTCCTTGCCTTCTGGCTGACCTTGGATCACAGCACTCCCGTTGTGTGAGACATCCCGCCATTTCTGCATGATCCCTATAACTGCACACAGTCTTTGAACTACTCCTGTTTGTTTGTCCATCCCTGCTTCATGCATTGGAGTAGAAGCTTCTGAGGGGCATCCAGGTGTGCTGGTTCTACAGCACAGGCTTGAGAGCTTTCGCCACAATGCTGTTCTGCTGGCACTCTCTTTATCTCCTCGACTACACTTAAAGGAATTGCAGTTCAGCTCAGTTGCTCTGTGAATTGCCATGTCTCTTCTCCTCCCATTGTCCCAGGCCCTTCACTTGCCTACCCTGTCCCAAGCCTTGCGTCCTCCCCCTGTTTTGCCAATGACCAGGCCCAACAAAAATGATAACACCAGCAGGGAGATGAACCAATATTCAGACTGTATTGTAGACAGAAATGTTACTATATGAATGACCACCGGGGGTACAAACAGGTCAACAAGCTCATACATGATCGACGCCACCCCCAACGATCCCACAAACGACATGACCCGGCCCACAACAGGTGGTATAAACAGTGACCCGAGGTTGCCCACAGTTGGCATGGGAAACAGCCAGACCAGCCAGTTAAAACCATGAGAAAA